TCTAACGGGCCCCGTGCCCGGCTTCGAAGCCGCGAACCTCTGGCAGGCGTCTCTGTTTTCAGTGCCACCACTGGGCAGGCGGGAGCCCCCACGTGGGGGCCAGCCGGCCATGGCAGACCTGTGCCCTTCCCTGCCCTGTTTATCCCCAGGCTCGAGGACCAGGCAAGGCTTTCCTGCGAGACTTCGGCTCAGACCGCCGTCCTGTTCCCTCCCAAGAAAATGCTAGTCGTGGGCTCTCTAACCGCACAAGACTGGACTTGCATCTGGACTTAACTGCGTGTCTGTGGCACATTTCAGTAGGCGCTTCCCTCCGCTAGTAGAAAATCAGGTGTGAGAACCTCCGCCCACAAGGGGACATGGGCCGACCAGCTGGGAACACCCCATGGCTCCTGCCAGGCCCCCCGAGCCTGAGGGGGCCATGACCACAGGCTCAGAGGTACAGGAGGGGGTGTCCGGGCCACACGGACCCCAAACCCCAAGCTCCACTCCCAGGCCACCGTGGCCTTCTTCCCACCAAGATCTTGTCTTTGCCTTGGGGGTTTCTTAAGGGAAAGGGAAGCCTCTGTCACCAGATGAGAACAGTTCATCAGGGCAAAAGGCACCTGGTGGGGCGCCCGCCCCCCAGGCCTCACCAGACTGTCCTTCTCTGCCAGCGGAGGCGAGGTGAGGCGAGGACCGACACAGGGCCCGGGCCGTGCGTGTCACCGGCTCCTGGCCCCCCCCCCCCCCCCCCCCGTCTCCTCCCCGTGGGCGAGGGGCACAGTCCCATCGATGACCCCAAGGCCCGTCGTAGGGAAAGCAGGCCTGTCGTGCCCCGCGGGCCAGCAGGCCAAGCTTCTGGCCTGGGCTCCTCCCTTGTTACGCTTGAAACCCACACCCGTCCACCGACTATCGCCGATACCAAACCGTCTGTGCTTCAGCAAAATGCGGTGACCCAGGAACACGGCACAGAAGCCGGCGATGAAAAGTCACCCGAGCGTCCGGGTCCCGGTTTTGATTTTCAAGTCTGCCAAGGGCCTTTCCAGGTAGGGTTGGATTATGACCCAGGAGGGGACCATCCATCCGAAGTGACAATGGGGAACACAGCCCGGCCGGGAACGCGGGCTCCCTGGGCGGTTGCCGGCGGGCAAGAACGTGAGTCCCGGGGGCCGTGGGGCGGCGGGGGTCTGCACCCTCCTCACAGGTGCCCTCCACACCGTCTCGGAAGGCACCGGAGAAAGCTTTCACCAGTGTCCCTCGTGGTGCAGAGGTGAGGAAGGGAGCGGCAGCCTCTGGCAGGGGACGCACGGCTCCCCGCACTGTCAGCCTGCGGCACTCCAGGAGCACTGGGGGACCACGCCCCAAGGACAGGGCACCCACAGAAGACTGGGGTAACTGACAACACGGCGGGGGGGGGCCCCTCCCTCACAACCAGACGGCAAGCACTGGGCGACAAGAAACAGGGATGATGAATACGTAACAGAACTAATCGATGAGTCAGAATAACCCATCCTGATCATGGGGGGTTGAATCTATGAGTGTAAGAGGAGTTTATTAAATTTTTTCAATGTTTGTTTATTTTTGAGAGAGAGAGAGCGCAAGCAGGGGTGGGGCAGAGAGAGAGAGACAGAGCATGAGAGGGTGAGGGGCAGAGAGAGAGGGAGACACAGAATCCGAAGCAGGCTCCAGGCTCTGAGCCATCAGCCTAGAGCCCGACGCGGGGCTCGAACTCACGGACCATGAGATCATGACCTGAACCGAAGTCGGACGCTTAACCGACTGAGCCCCCCAGGCGCCCCAGAGCACACTTGAAAAGCAAGGTGTGCAACAGTGTATACGGCATGCTCCCCTTCGTGACTCTGTGTGTTGTGGGGAGTAGAAGAGTGAGTACTCAGTCTGCTTGCTTTTCCCTAAAGAAACAGCGCGGCCAATGGGATGGCTGCCTGCAGGGGCAGGGACGGGAGGGAGGGAGGGCTCCGTGTGGTCTCCTTCCTGCCACTTACGGTTACTGATCCGTGTCAATAGATCACCTCTTCAAAAATAAAAAGACCACCTTAAATGAAACTGTAGAGCCGTGTTTTAAAAATTATAATGATGCCACACACAAATACACAAAAAACTGGAATGATTAAGGATAATGATACATAAAAGAAAGGGTAAGTTTCTTTTTAAAAAAAATCATCTTCAGGCACCCGGGAGGCTCAGTCGGTTAAGTGTCTGACTCTGGATTTTGGCTCATGTCATGATCTCGTGGTCACGAGATCGAGCCCTACAGAGGGCTCTGTGCTGACACTGTGGAGCCTACATGGGACTCTCTCTCCCTTTCTCCCTCTGCTTACGCTCTCTCTCTCTCTCTCTCTCTCTCTCAAAGTAAATATTAAAAAAAATTTGAACGTTTATTCATTTTTGAGAGAGAGAGAGAGAGAGAGAGAGAGAGAGACAGAGCGTGAGCAGGGGAGGAGCGGAGAGAGAGGGAGATCCAGAATCGAAGCAGGCTCCAGGCTCCGAGCCGTCAGCACAGAGCCCGACGCGGGGCTCGAACCCACAAAGAGTGAAATCGTGACCTGATCCAAAGTCCCACGCTCAACTGACTGAGCCACCCAGGTGCCCCTCAAAATAAATATTTAAAAAATAAAATAAAGTACATTTAAAAATATTAAAAACTCATTTTCATACAGCACAGTCACAGGGTGCCCTGCTGGGCTCTGGTGGGAGCCACGATCAGGCCGTGGCCCAGGGCCAGCCGGGCCTCGTCTCCCAACGCCTCCCAAGGTCGCAGAGTCCGGCTTCATGAGACAACACGGGGGTTTCCACGGCGCTTCCAAGGCCACGCAGCCCCCGTCACGTCCTGATGCTTCCTGCCATCTTTCACTGCGGCAGGGCTGGTTCCGATTCACGTTCCCACGTGCTGAGTCGGTTCTCCAGGGTGTGGGTCCGGCCCACGCACTCAGGCCGGTGTGAGTCACACAGACCCGCCTGCCACAGCTCCCCCCAGACAGTGGTTGGGAAAGATGTCCAGGAGGCAGGCCCACAGGCAATTCCCTCCAGGGCAACACCATTCACAGACATGGCCTCTTTGGCGAGGTCCTTCCAACCGATGACGAATCCGGACATTCCCACATCTGTCCCCAGGGGAGCGGACACCTCGCCAGATGCCTGAGGTCTAGACAGCCCAGCCGCGATCTGGCTCAACAACCCCACCGGCCGCAGAGCCCACGAGCGCCTGACGGCCCTCGACGCCCCGACGGCCACGTGCCACCACGCACGTCCTGTGCCGTCCCTACCAGGAAGGACGCTGGAGAAAAGCCAGAGCCCGTCGGGGCGGGACCACCCCCCACGGGGGAGCAGCAGCGCCCGTGTTCACACCAGTGTCCCCCGGGGAGGGAGCCCCGCGCACACCAGCTGGTAGCGTCCAGCCGGGTACTGGCTTCGAGGAAAGTTCTGAAGGGCAAACTTGAGTGCTTTCTGATCGTTACGGTTGTGGCGATGGCGGCGCTAAAAGGCTTTTTCTGAGACCCAAGTGGGAGACGTGAGAGCACAGTGAAGGACAAAACAGACGGCGTGAGGGTGACTGACGAGCCCGGAGGCCCTCCGTCCTGCGTGCCCTTGCGACTGCCTGGCAGGTGACAAGGGGGCGGGGGCCCGAGGGCACCCTGCTGGCGGCTCTGGCCCGGGGAGGCCAGCGTGGGTTTTGATCTCACTGGTCTACAAAGCCTGGACCCCTCCCCGGCTAACCGGGCACAGCCTCCGTGTCATTGATGGACTTCACGTTTTGAACCCCGTTTTCTTACCAGAAAGATCTCCTTGCTTGGTTTAAGAAGCTATCAATTTGGAACTCGGCTCCAAATATGGATTTAAAATTTTTTATAGTTTCAAAGCCATTTAAATGTCTTTTCTCTAGCTGAATTTTAAAAAAGTCTTTCCCTGGGGTGCCTGGGTGGCTCAGTCAGTTAAGCACCGACTTCGGCTCAGGTCACGAGCTCACGGTTTGTGATTTCAAGCCCCGCATCGGACTCTGTGCAGACAGCTCGGAGCCTGGAGCCTGGTTTGGATTCTGTGTCTCCCTCTCTCTCTGCTCCTCTCCCGCTAGCACTCTGTCTCTCACTGTCTTGCAAAAATAAATTAAAAAAAAAAAAAAAAGAGTTAAAAAAAAATGTCCTTCCCAATCTCCCTTTATGAAGACGCTCGTTAACAAACAAAAAAGGGAGTCTTGTAGGGCCTCACTTCTGCCTTACTGTAAGGCTTGTATAACTATACTTATCAAAACACCTCTTAGAAAAATATAAAAGCTTTTTATTTATAAAGCGCATCGCAGGACAGCTAACCTCGGAGCCCAAGGGCAGGCCCCAGCTGGGCTCCGGAGAGTGACAGGAGTTCCGGCCTCTGCCGCTAGGGGGCCTCCGCGACTCCCGTTCTCACTTCCACCCTCTGCTGCGGACCGGACCGCGTGGAAGCCTGCTCCATGGAGGCGGTGCTTGGCTCCTCGGAGGCGTGGCCACGGAGGCGAGGAGGCGAGCGGCTCTCTGCATCGCCGGCGTGGGTGGAAGATTCCGGAGCTGGGCTCGGAGTCCAGCTCTGAGCGGAATGTCTTCCCCATCGGCGGGAACGGCTGAGCACATGGTCTTGCTGTGCGCGGCCTCGTTTGAGCCGGATTCTTGAGGAAGCTCGAGCAAACGGGTCACCCTCGGCCCGTGACCTTTGACATCTACCTGTTCATTCGGCTGCGGGTCCCCGCCCTGCTGGCCCTGCTTTCGCTCTATGCCCTGACACTGCGCACGGACGGAAGATGCGTCTCAGTGAGCCGGGTGCAGCTTAGCGATCAAGTCCAAGTACACTTCAGGGGACCTGTCAGCACGGAATGCAATTCCAGGCCACCCCAGGTCCTAACCCGCACTTCGTGCCACTAAATGACATCATCTTCACAGATTTCAGTCGTTACTATTTTTTTAAGTTGCTTACTGAAAAGAAAAATAAGCGTGAATACGGGAGCAGAAAGCTCAAATTTTAGTCCTGAATTAATCTTTCCAAAGCTTTATGCATTCTCTTCGAATGTAAATTAGCGTCAGCTCAACTTTTAAATTAAAACTCCTGCAGTGTGACTTCAGTACTTCCTGGAAATGTCTCAGCCAAAGTAGAGGAAAACACTTAATGATCTCCTTTGTGTATCTTCTCAAAGTAATGAATAACCTGAGGACTGACTGTGCCTACGATAAGATACGGTCATAATCACATGCAGAGACTTTCTATAACTTCATGAATGATCCTGAAATTTCTGATAAATGCTTACCTGGCTTATAAAACCTCAATTTACACAGAAGAGGTGTAAGTGTCATGGTATGAATGAAAAGATAAATTTCCCTGAACTTTCTTCACCAGAAAAAGCAAAATACACACATTTGAAAATAAAAAAACCCCCAAATGCTTATAAATGTTTTTTCCAGGTGTGAACTCAATTGCACAACCCATACGCTTCTAGCAAAAATATGTGATCGTTTTTAATGATTTATGTATAGAATAAAAATAAATTTTATGATACAATTTGATAAACTACTTCATACAAAATCTGCCTCATAAAATGTATGCAATTTTTTTGCAACACAAAAACTCTATTCAGATACACAAATTCATAAAAGGCAGACATCTTGAAGCAAAACAGTCCCTGTAGGGCTAAGTCGTTCAACTTAGTAGGAGAGAAGAGAAGTGTACGAAGGACAGTTAACTGGCCGGCCGTCCGCCTCCAACAATGTACTCAGCACAATCTGATCACACAATTTAACGGTGCGCTGTAGAAACGAGGAGATGGCCCGTGTGTGGAAACGGCGGAACTTAATCATCGGATGTCGAGCGTATTCAGCTTGGAAGATCACGTAACTACCTTAGAAAAGGACGTATTTTGGAAATGCCAGGAAGAAAACCTACCCATGCCATTCGTGCTAATCCTTAAAGAAGCAAAACTCCTCAGGCAATTCTAGCGTTTCAATGGCACTGCGTGGTTCACACAACAAATATCTAGAAATAACGGTATCGGGACCCAGAACCCAAGACCTGTGAGTATGTCTCTGACCAGGGGAAAGCCTTTACGTACGAAGTTAAGACTTTCGTAAATGTTGGCGATATCGTATGTGAAAAACTAAATATAAACCATGTTTTTAAAAAGCCTTGCTTTAAAAAACAATTTCCCAAAAAAATGGTAACATCAAAAAAATGGGGTCAACTGGTGCATCCTTCGAAGTCTTCCTGCCTCCCAGGGACGCAAGACTGAGCGCGGAAGAGGGAAGAGGCCGAAGCCGCGGGCGCAGGACAGCGAGGCCCCCCACCCGGGCTCACTGCTGCCTCCGTGGGGAGAACCCGGGGGCCAGACACCCGCCAAGGACACACTGAAACCTCCTCAAATCTCTGAACTTTAAGGCTGTAAACACAAGCCAGAGGCAACAGGGACCCATGAGAAAATGACCTCGAGCAGCGCGGGCCGTGGGTAAGAGGTTTAAAAACCTCCCGCGTGCCTCCTAGAGATACAGGCTCAGATGACCCCTCTGCAAGGGGGGATGAACTCAAAGTCGACCTTGCTCATCAAAGTCGACCTCGCTCTGCATGTAAGTGCCAGTGCCCGACTCGAGGCCTGAGACCTGAAGACGAGGGACGCGGGTCTCCCTCGGCGCGCCAGCACCGCTCGCCTGCTGGAGGATTCTGGCACAGAGCTGAGCACACAGGCCGCGGCCGAGACACGGAGAATACGCGTGTGGGAGTCCCCTCCACGGGCCACACGCCCGCGGGAGGAAGGTACGAGAACACGGCCCTTCCGGGCGGGAGCGAGCCTGCGCGTCGGTCGGAGGACACCGAAAACTTCATTTTTTTCAGGAAACTGAGCTTAGAGAGGAGCGAGGCTCTCTCTGCCTTTTTATTCTCGGCCCGAGGAGGGCGGGCGGCTTCCGAGACGTCCGAGCATTCACCTTCTGGAACTCAGAGTGATGCTGCACACCATTTTCTGGATCTTCTCGTCGTTCCTCAGGATGTTGGCCTTCACGGCGCAGATCTTGTCCTGCTGGTCTCTGATCAGCTGCTCCAGCTCCGCCAGCTCGGCCTTCAGGGGCTCCACGGCACAGTTCGTGATGCTGGCGGGAAACAACACAGGGGCTCGTGAGGACCACGCGGCTCCGCGGACACGCGCTTCTTGACCAAAACGACACAAGAAGACAAACGGAGGTTATTCACGGCATCCACAGAAAAGGGCTAGGAGTACGAACACGCTCGGGTGATGACACGGAGGGACGAAAGCCCCACGCCTGGGAACAACGGGGGTCACAGCCTCACCGCGACCCGAAGTGGAGTCAAACGTGAAATTATACACAGGAGCCTAATGTGTCTGAAGTCTTTACGTGACGTACGCTGCAGAGAGCCCTGGGGACGGTGCGGCCACCAAGACTGCTGCGCCAGGCAGCCCTCCGCCTCCCTCGCCTTCCTCCAGGGGGAGGCTCACCCAGCTGCAAGGGCTTCCCCCCAGAGACCCTCCCTCCGGACTCCCTTGCCCAAGGCATGAGGCCTTTCAGTCCTGGGTTACGTGCCAGGAAAAATCTAGAACATACTTGGGAAGACAGAGGTCAAATCAGCCTTTCCCTTTAGTATTTTTTAAGCATATCGATACAGAATAAATACAAAAAGAGTGATGGTGTCCAACCATCCTGCCATAAAGCAACATCAGTTTTGCAAAGGAAGAACCATCTGGGTGCCACTTTTTAGTACGTTAAACGAAACGTACAAAGTGCTAACAAATGACCACGCTGGACTCGGCACCAAAAAGTTCTCGGTGATTTCCTAACTCCTGTCGTGCTGGAATTTAAAATCTTAAGGAAATTTTTAAGAATAAGCAGACTAATAAAAGAGTATAGCTTCGTTATAACACAGCTTATTATATGGGCTTAGAGATATATCACTGAGTCCAATCAGATACTTTTCTGGAAAAAAAAAAAAACATTAACAACTGATACAGTTTCATGCTGGGACGATTATAAATACAAGAGTGTCAAACATTTCCCTAAGATAAATCTCTCTTTAGCGGTTCTATTTCCTTCACGGTAGCAATTTCGAAATGAGTTCACCTGCATTTATTTCTTCTGGAGTAAAAAGCGAAAACACTGCCAAACTACAAACAGTTACAAAATTGGGGGGATTGTGGCAAGACACGTAAAAAAATAATACCCGTACTGCACAGTTCCCCACAGTTTTTACTGCCTACGTCTAATTACGTGCGAAAGGTAACTCCAAATCTTTCCCACTGGTTACAAAGAAGTGCATGTTGCGGTATGAACGCAGAAGACACCGCTTTTGGGGAGGGTGGTGGTTTCCTGGGAGATGTCCCGCCGGCCCTGGGCAGATGTGGGGCCCCCCTCCCCAGCCCCATGCCCCGACTGACCTCTGTTCCTCCTGCAGGGGAGATGTCCCCCAGGCCCCGGGCAGAGGTGAAGGCTCCCCATCCCCCCCCCGGGGCCCTGGGCAGATGTGGGGCCCCTCGCCCCCCTCGCCCCCCTCGCCCCCTCGCTCCTGCCGACCTCTGTTCCTCCCGCAGAGCCTCGGCGTGCTGCTTGTTCTCACGGTGCCACAGCTGCAGCTCGTTCTGCATGGCGTCCACGTCCTCCTGGATGTAGTCCATGATCTTCCCCAGGGGAAGTGCGCTCTTGCACAGGCTCTGGATGGACACACGCAGCTTCTCGATCTCCTTGGAGACGATGTCCTTCTCCTTCTTCCACGCTGACTCAGAGACCAGCAATTTCTCCTGTGGTCAGGGGGGAAAAGAGGAAGAGAAGGAAACATCCTCATTTCTGCGGGCCTGCCGAGGGCGGAAAAACACGGGAGTGGGGACAGTACTGGCTCGGGACCCACTGTCCTTCCTGTGAACGTGACACTTGGGCCAGCCGCGGCCCCGAGCCATGGGAGCAGGTACACTGTGCCCACCGGGGGTCCGTGCCTTCCCTTCTCAAGGGTAGAGGGGTCTTGACCTGGAAGGCTGTCTGAAGGGCAAATTTCTATAAAGTAAGATTTATTCCCCAACTGACCAGAAACTTAGAGTTACTGTTACCAAGGCTTAGGGACACTGATGATTTTCCCAGACAGACTGGCAGAAAAGGGATCTGACCCTGCACCTCACTCCTTGAACGGGCCTCTTTTCCATCTCAAATGACACCGTAACCCAGCTCGCCAGGCGAAAAGAGGAAGGGAACCCTCCAGAGAGGAGGAAACCTGGCAACGTGGAAGGGAAGGAGAGGAAGTCTGCAAGCAGGGCATGGCCAGCAGCACCAAGCCAAGCGGAGGGTCAGCTGGAGAGGGCTGGACTGAGCTGGCTGGTACAGAGGTCAAGGAACCTGGGGCCTCGGTGGGAATCACTGGTGCAGAGGGTAGGGGGGAGGTCTCACACAGTAGCAGGCAAAGGAGGGGAGGAGACAGAGGCAACTGGAAAACTTCATTCAGTTTCGGCCAGGAGTTGCTAGGCTCTTTGGCAACCGACGTTTACAATTCTCTTCATATGAGCTTTTATCACAGACATCTCTGAATTTCAGAAATTGACGTAAGTGACAAGAACCAATGAATAGTTTGGCTTCTTGGAAAGCCGTTCCCAGGATAATGGATACTGTTTAGGAAGCCCTCCCTGGATGTTCCCGCTCCACAAGGCTGGCTAAGGTGTCACTGCTTTACTGACTTAGAGTATAAGTCAAATGCTGTTAATTAAATTATAACTAATTAACTTGTTTTTATCATATAACCATTTGTGTTACTTCTAATGCCAGTTTCAGACTGTAGGATCCAGGAGGGCAGGAGCCCTGTGTCTGCATCCACTGTGGCCCATATAGGTTCTCCTTAAATATCTGCCAAACTAACAAATGAAGTGACCGAATAGTCTGCCTCTCAAGATTCTGGCTCCACTACCTACTGAACTTGGACAAGCACGTGGAAAGTCTTAACATAATGCCTGGCACACAGAAAATGTTAAATAAACATGAGTAGAAACAAAAGGTAAAACTCATAGAACTAGTAAGAGTTAGGCAAGGTTGCAGGATATAAGATAAATATACAAAAATCAATTATATGTCTATATATTGTCATCACATGGACACTGAAATTAAAAATACAGTGTCATTTACAATTGTATACGTAAACAAAAGAGAAAAGTATCTAGGTGTAAATCTAACAAAATATGTGTGGAACTTGCATACGAAAATTACATAATGTGGATGAAAGAAATCAAAACAGATCTAAATAAATGGGGAGACATACCATGTTCCTCAACTGCAAGGTTCAAACATCATGAAGATGTCAATTCTCCCCAAATTGATATACAAGTTTAATAAAATTCCTATCAAAATCCAAACTAAATTGTTTGGAGACACAGAAAAGATTGTCCTGAAATTTATCCAGAAAGACAAAGGATCTAGAATAGCTAAAATATTTTTTAAGAAAGAAATAAAGAGGGAGCAATCAGTCTATCTAATTTCAGGACTTATTATGTAGCTACAGCAATCAAGACTGTGTGGTATTGGCAGGATAGACACATAGACCAATGGAACAGAATGAAGAATCTAGAAATAGACCCTCAACCAAGTATGCCCATCTGGTTTTTGACAAGAGTGCAAAAGCAATTCAATGAAAGAAATAGAGCCTTTCAACGTGTGGCACTGGAGTAACTGGATATCCAGAGGGGAAAAAGGAACCTTGACCTAAGTCTCATTTCTTGTACAAAAATTAACTCAAAGTGGGTAATGGACTTACATATAGAACGTACAAGTACAAAACTTTTAGGAAAAAACCTAGGAGAAAACCTTTGGACTTTATGGCCAAGCAAAGAGTTCTCCCACTTGACCCCAAAAGCATGACTCATTAAAGGAAGAGGTGACAAAGCTGACTCTGTCACAGTCAAAAACTTTTGAAGACCCTGTTGAGAGGCTGAAAGACAAGTTGGAGAGAGAACATACTTCCAAACCGTGTATCTGACAAAGGACTAGTATCTAAAAAATATAAACTCTCGAAACTCAATAGTAAAAAAGCAAACAGGAAATCCAATTAGAAATGAGAAAAGACACAGACATTTCACCAAAGAGGATACACGGATGGCCAATAAGCTCATGAAAAGATGTTCAAAATCATTACTTATCAGGGAAATTCAAACTGAAGCTACAATGTGGTATCACCCTACACCTACCAGGGTAGCTTTAAGAAAAAGGAGTGACAATACCAAAGGCCGGTGAGGATGCAGAGAAACTTGATTACTTGGACATGGCTGGTAGGAATGTAAACTGTACAGGTTTTGCAAACAGGTTTTGGAAAACAGTTGGGCAGTTGCTTGGAAAACTAACATGCAACCAGCAGACGACCTAGCAACTGTACTCCTGGACACTTATTCCAGAGGAATGAAAAGTTATGTTCACACAAAGTCTGTACGTGAATGTTTACAGCAGCTTTATTCAGAGTAGCCAAAAATTAGAAACAACCCAGATGCCCTTCAACAAGTGAGCAGTTAAAGAAACAGCGCTACACTCACATGTGGGACAACACTCAGCAATAAAAAGGAAGGAACTGCTGATTCACGCAGCCACCTGGCTGGTTCTCCAGACAGTTATGCTGCACGAAAGCGGCCAATCTCCAAAGACTACATGCTCTATGACTGCATTCACAGAACGTTCTTGAAATGACAACATTGTAAAAGTGGAGAACAGTTAGTGGTTGCCACAGGCTGAGGAGGGGGTGAGGTGGGAGGGGAGGGAATAGGCGTGGTTGTAAAAGGGCAACAGGAAGGATCCTTGTGGTGATGGAACTGTTCCATATCTTGACTGCATCAAGGTCAATATCCTGGTATGATATTGAACATGGCTTTACACGACGTATCGGTGGGGAAAACGGAGTATATGGGAAATCTCCAAAGGCCGGTGAGGATGCAGCAAAACTCGATTACTTGGACATGGCTGGTAGGAATGTAAAATGTACATTATTTCTTGCAACTGCACGTTGAGTCTACAGTTATGTAAAAATAAACTTCACTGACGAAAAAAGTTAGTGGCCACACAAATGCCTTTCAAGTAAAATGCTAAATGACCAAAATGAACTCAAGACAATAAAAAACTACTTCTCAAGGGAAAAAAAAATGTTGTCTTTATTATATCCAGATTAGTAAAACTCTGACTTAGTTGAGCAATTTAAAATTCTACTAAAACCCATTCATAATGCTTAGTAAATAATTCCCACGTACTTGGCATTGTGTTGAGTCTGATACAAAACTGTTTAGGGTGCAGAGCTTAGCATGGCTAATATGTGTAAATGTGCGATAAAACGGGTGAGTTGCAAGGGAGACAAAGACACTAAGGGGTTATCTGGCCAAGCTCCCTATTTTGGGTCACCGTGTCAAACTCCCTCATAGCTCTGAATCACAGCGCCAAGCAGAATTGGGAACACTAATCTTACGTTTATACGTTTATTTTTAAGGGGTTAAGAATTCAAAACAAAATGCATTTGGGCTGGGATTATGAGTCGGGAGAAACTTTTATCATTGCTGCAAACACACTGTGGCAAAACATCAAAATTCTGGCATTAAAAAAAAAAAAACAACAACCAACTACTTCCATCTAAACGAACATGGCAGGGTGGGGTGGATAAGCCAGTGATTATTTGCTCTAAAAGCACACCCCTCTGACGACAGACTGATTTATACACAGCCCGCATAGCTGTGTCAGCAAATTTCCAGACAAACGTAACATTATAAACCCTTGTTTTATAGACTTTTAATACGTATAGTGAAATATGAGAATCTAGCACCATATCCACCACCCAGGAATCAGTCACACGAGCCACGCTCAATTTCTGGGAACACAAGAGGAAGATACGGTGAAACTCCACCATTATATGTCCACTACCAAAACGACGGGGAACACAGGGAGCCTTTGGGGAAACGCGCGGGCCAGCGGTCGGAACACGTGCTCTGCACGTATGAAGCCTCGCCACCTCCTCACTGTATGGCCCCGGGAGCCTCACTTGACCTGCCTGTAGCTCAATGTCCTCACCATAAGATGGAAATAATAATATTTACCCTCTAGGTAAGATTAAATGGGATCATATAAAATAGGCAGCCCGGAGCCTCGCACGTAGTAAACCTTCAATGGGCGTTAACCGTTGCCATAAATTTCTCGGACAGAAAGAACGGAAGCACGAGCCCCTGCGGGGCGAGGCCCGCGTGCTCTGCCTCCAGTGCGGCGACGTGGCCCTTCTCTCTCTCGGGCGGACTCGTCAGCTACAGAAGACTCGAAGTCGGGCCTGCTCTGAGCACTCTGCTCCGAGCACTCCCGGCACGTACCGGAAAACATGTGCGGGTGGAGCGGCGGCACCAACTGACCAGCTTCAAGAGAGACAGGATCGTTCATCGAGAATACACCCTCCTCCCCGACACGGTCCCGTCCCCAGCTCTACTTTGTAAACATGTAAATGCCCCGCTGCCACGAAATCAGATCTCGAAACTCTCTGCCGGGAGAGCACATCTCCGGGCCACACTTTTCTGCCGCACTCCGGCCACGGCCTCGCTCTCCACGGGCGACGCGCACGGAGGTGGCAGCGGCGGGTCTCGCGGGGACACAAACCCACCGGCCTGTGGCCTCCGGCTCCTCGTGCAGGCTGCACACTGTTTACTCAGCTGCTTCTCCGGCAGGAAGGGCCTCTGACAAAGCGTTTCGGCGTCTGGCTGCCCACTTCGCACATGTGCTTCAGAAAGCGTGAGTTTCCAAGACTTTCCAGGTGAAC